AAATAAACTTAAAACAAACAAAAGAATCCGTCCGACGGGGGACACATCAAAGGAAAAACAAAATTGCTATTTTTATATAATTTTATATTTATCTACCTTTTAAACCTTCTCTGGACTTCCTCAAATAATTCAAGACTAATATTAGTCAAATCGGTCCAGCCGATCTCGAGTTTTAGCGAGACTAACGAAGAAGATAGAAGAAGAAGATTACTACTGTTCGTATGGCGACTCAAAGCAGTCAGGGATTTTGGTCTGAAGGGTGGAACAGCTTATATGCAATACAAATAAAACCGACCTAAGGTCCCGACTAATATTGTTTTGTTTAACTAAGAATTAAAATTTTCGTCGCATTAAGAAGTACTAACCTTATAATTGAATTGTCAGCAGTTTGCAAACGCATCAATGCTGATATGATTACGTTGCTGTTTTCACTATGGCTTTTGTGCCAATAACCTTGTTATTACTGGGAAAATCTACGTCAATCAACAATGCACGTACATCGTAAGTTTTCTCTAGATTCTATGTTGTTGGTAGATATAAAATAATTTTAACCTCTGTGATATAAATTAATAATGTACTTATTTATATTATAATAAAACTCCATCGGAAAGATATATTTTGGTTTGATTTATTAGAATGTTATACATTTTTACTCTAGCTCCCATCAGTCTGAAAACTACCAAAGTAACTCTGTCATTTCAGGATAATATCATAATAAAATTGGTTTGCCGTAAAAGATATTGTACGGTTATCATTCAAGAAATACAAATCGCAAGTAAAGGCCTTATCTGTTGTGAACTTGTTTTCGGAGAGAATGTTATCAAAATATGTGTTGTATTTTGAGCAAAACGTATTTGTGAAATTGTTGTCAGAAAAGGATACTTACCTTTAATTTTACACTTCACAGACAAATAAAAATAAAAGTTTAAACAATAGTCCCAGTAACTATAGTAAGGAAAAAGATTTTTAAAAAACTCACCTAACTGTACCTACATTCGCTATAAAAAAAAGAATAATGTTAGTATTTTTTTTTAAATTATGATAGCCTCCTGATAACCTGTGTTGTTTTTGTTCAAGACAAACCAACAATATCAAAGTTTTTTCAACTAAAATGACCCATATTTCTTACTGCACACTCAAAGTTCTTGACAGTGGCCACATAACAGTATTAACAATTACTGCTAATACCAAAATGTACGGGTCTGTTACATATATTTTAGAAAGTACATCAAACGTTCATTTTACGTATAAAACAATAAATTATATTTTGGCTATTACAAACAATAGTCAATAGAATAAAGTTACCACATTAGGGAAATAATGAAATATCACTCCCTCAATATGGTTCTATATTATTGATGCCTTATCAAGAACTCTTAACCCATAGACACAGCCCACTGAGTTTCTCGCCGGATCTTCTCAGTGGGTCGCGTTTCCGATCCGGTGGTAGATTCTGCGAAGCACTGCTCTTGCTAGGGTCAGTGTTAGCATCACTCCGGCTTGAGCCCCGTGAGCTCACCTACTAGTTAGCGTTACGCTGAAATAGCCTCTCAAGGCTATCAGCTTAGGTAGGAAAAAAAAGAAAAAAAGAACTCTATGCAAAGGATTGAAAACAAGCAAACATTTTTATAGGCATTCCAAAAAATCATTCTTGTATCATAACGGCAAATTCTTTTGTGCGTTGTTGGTTCATATTTCACCTTGTAGAGTACCTCCAGACATGTACTCGCAATCTTATCTACGAGTATATTGATGTACTGACACGAACATGTCGATAACAAAACAAAACGTGCGGTCAGGGAACAAAGAAAATCATTACCGGTGACTCGATTCACTAAACGATATGGGTTCACAATTCCCATTCACGATATGACGGCGAGTAAAAAGTAATCGATTTAAAATAAAATTGTTTATTTAAAAACTAGCGACCCGCTCTCGTTTCGCTTCGGAAACTGTAATTTATTATTGATTTCTCTACTATTAAACGGATGTTATTATACATATAAACCTTCCTCTTCAATCACTCTATCTATTAAAAAAAACCGCATCAAAATCCGTTGCGTAGTTTTAAAGATTTAAGCATACATAGGGATATAGGGACAGAGAAAGCGACTTTGTTTTATACTATGTAGTGAAGTTGTGTGTTCTGTTCGTCATGGGAAATTTGTTATTCGGCCCAATTGGTTGAATGATTCGTCAAATAAACACTAAATGGGAAATACGATAGAGCACATTCGTATTAATACGTTTGACTCTAGTTTGAAACATATGTACATACCAATGTATATCTTTATATATGTATTTCTTTTGTGCGTGTGTTTGTCACTGAACTCCTAAACGGCTGGACCGATTTGAACGATTTTTTTTTTTGTATGAGTTTGGGTTGCGCCCTGGATGGTTTAGATTCACAAATCAGCCCGGCAGATGGCGCAGCAGTCGGTATTTAGATTATTTATCTTTCCTATAAATAAGTTATATGGCAAAACAACGTTGGCCGGATCACCTAGTATGTATGTATGTATATTGAACGAAAAAAATAGAATATTTCTATGTAAGCTTGGCAAGCCTGTTTACTTCTCTTTGATCAAGCAATTTCAAACATCAAGTTATTATTTTGTTACTCAACGTTTGAACAGCTCCTGCTAAGAACTCGAACACAAAATAATTGGCTTCAAAAGTCTGTTCATTTTATTACTTATAATATACACATAGTTAAACCATATTTTCATATTCTGACGCTAGAAGACTATCAAGCGGCTATAACAATTTATCACATCTTATCTTCAGATGTTCCGTGAGCCTTTTCTCCCTATATACAACCATAATACTACTGACCATTCTCGAATCTGTCATCTCCAATATGAGAGAGAAAATACTTTAGCTCTCCTTTAGTATATAAACATAGTCTAACGACTAAAATCGTAGAATGTACATACTTATGCTATTTTCCATTTTAAAACAATAATATGTTTGATACAAAAATCTCAAACAACTCTCGAAGTACAGACTCGAAAATTCTTCGTATCAAACACCAAAAAAACAGTTTATGTCCTTATATGTCCTACTAAGTTAAAATGACGAAATTGCTAATTCGCAAAAATATTGATTGACTTGTGCAATCCTGTGCAAATTATCCACCTCATTTTTTAGTACAATACTGCTCATTTGTTTGCTCACGTAACTTCAGTGAGTACACATTTCACTCAAATTCAATTTTAATCTTATTCTTTTTCTCCACCTTATCCCACCAGGTGGGGTCGGCAGAACTAATCCATTCCATCAGCCGTCATCTCAACACTCACTCCTCTCTCTCTCATATCGTCATTCACACACTCCATCCATGTCTTCTTCGGTCGAACTCTTCCCCCTCTACCTTCCACTACCATTTCCTTACATCTCCTAGTCACATGTATTTTCTTTTTCATCTTCAAATGCAATGATTTTTGATTGTATTTATTATTTTCAATTTTTAATAAGATACTGATTCATTGATTGATCATCATCGTTTTGAGAGGATAAAAATATAAAGGTTACTTAAGTTTAATACAGCTTTTTATTTCTATTAGTCATTCAATCAATAGGCGAGGTGGTAAACCTAGCACAGCTCGTGTTTCCTAACAATTATAATCTCTGGCCTTTTTTTACGTGAGAAGACAACATCTACAATGTGTTTTAAATTTTATTTGGCAGAAGTGCTTCTAAGCTTTATATTGACAGTTCTTTCTATATTATTTTTAAATCAACAGTAATCTAATAAATCTTTTGTAAATAATGTCCACATCGACGATTAATGGAGTCGCTAGCATCAGAATCGATTAAGTGGACATTATTATTAATGTATCAACTATTAATCGATTCGCAACAAGTAGCTACATTATAAATGACATAACCAAACCATTTGGGTTTGCATTATTTGAACTTTGTCCCGTTTCGACGAGCACTGTGTACGCGGACAGACCGGAGTGACCCAGAGTGACTCATTTGAACACTGGCCACATCTCCCGGGAATATTTCCTTTGTTAAGCACACTAGCGTTTGGCTTTCGTTCAACTATTGGCAAAAACGTAATGATGACTGAAATTACTTTTAAAAGCGAAAATGTTGGTCACTGTTTTCTTCGAGTACATTGGGACGTGTGACGTATTTGGACAGTTTTTAGAAGTAATTTCATTAAATTCATTATTCAGCTACATCACCCTGTTAACTGCATCACTAAATTAGCATATGATATGGATTAATATTTTTTAATCAATATTGGACAATGTTAGTTATACGTTGCAATAATTAAATCATTAATACGATAAGTAGTATTCATTTGACATGCAAAAAAATCAGATATTAAAAAGATACGATTATCTTCATTTTGCGAATGCTTTCTAGCTTTTGCTCTCTGTCATGGTAGACAGCATTCGCTTGGGTAAAATGCGAACACGTTCTTGAAATACAACCAAAGTAATGCGTTCGACGACTGAGTGAAAGCCAATGTATGCCCAATGTCCCTTTACCAGTCAATGCTCTCATCCAGACGCGGCGGTCTGAAAAGAAAAAGAAAGTGCATTTTCCCGTCAATGAACTCTTTCATATGCTATGAAATACATAATATAAAGTTATTTTCAAATCTCATAAATTCTAATGTTAAATTTAAATTCGAATATAATAATGTTGTAGATTCGAAAATGTGCATGCATGGTTCTATAAAAATATTTTTGGAAAAAGGTCTTTGAACACTTCTTAAAAGTCAAAATTCGTCATGACTACCAAATTTGATTCGAATTACAGCCGAAAGCCCTAATCAGAATACATATGCAAAATGTCAATGTAATTAAAATTCAAATACATAATAATATTAGTAAATTAACATGCTACTTATTTAGTCTAATTAATTATAATTAAATTCTCGTGGATTGAAACCAGAGTGCAATAACTCAAAGTAGATAGGACGTCGCTTGACAACAGAAACACGAATTTGTGACGCAAGTGTATATTATGTGTAAATTAATAAAGAGTGCAACTAGTGGCGAGCTGTGAGATAAAACCCAGGTTTATACAGTAGCCACTGACCGAACAAAGGCAGGATCTAGATAATTAGTTGTGGACAAAAATAGTCGAGGCAGCCGGGCCCTGGGCCAGGTGACGTCAGCGCGCCAGGGCCGGCGGCGGGGCAAGACGGGCCCCGCGCCAGTGTCGCGCGCGCCGTCAGCCCGGCCGCACGCTACCTAGAGCCTGCACGTACCCAGCCACCAGCCGCCTCCGCCTACTCGCCTCCACCGCCGCGTCGCCGTTGACGTCTCCACCGCATCAATACTCGTGAGTACCCGTCTACCTACTTACGCTCTGTTTAGCATCGTACAAATACTTGATTATTCTTATCTAAAATTGCAACGATGCACTGTTGTACGTAGTTTATTGCAGATTTCACTTCTATTATTGCACATAGCGATCACAACTCAGGTACTCACTTGCATAGTAACAAAACTACATCGAGGCGAATTAAACATCATTATTATTTCACGTCTTCATTTTTGATTCTAATTTGTTTCGGTACTTCGGTACAGATTAGAGAAGTGAACCAACCTTGGAGCATCGGGCAATGCAGCGGGGACCTTGCAAGTCACGCGTCAAAGTAACCTCGACTCACGCCGTACTCGCGCTGCTACTACGTTTTCCTCAGATTTTGTCGCAATCCAACTACGCCGTGACGTTGTTGGCTTTACATTGCTACACGGGTCGACCTCGCAACGAACAAGGCCACGTCAAACGAGCAATGAATTCGATTTGAATGCATACGCTCGCATAGCAAAATGTTACTTAGTCCGAAGTCTTGTTGATACACGCTTTTGGAATTAACACAAACAGCTGACCGTTGACGACATTCTTCTTTTTTTGATAGATAAAAACATGACTCGGTCAATCAAGGACGGTCGACCACTGTTGAGAGGTATTTCCCGTTTAACACCGTGAAACTGACGTATCGAATTAGGCACAAAACAAATGGTTGCGATCATTAACAATATAGTAAAAAAGCGTTTTATTTACAATCAACGAAGAACATTTCGACAAATAATTGTTTGATTTATAAGCTAACAAGGGGCCTTACCGCTTCCACGAGTTTATCGCATTGGAAAAACACGCCATACTTTATCGCGTGTCGTTTCGCTATCAGCTATGCCAGCGTCGCTGGCTGCCACCTATAAACAGAATGTACTTACGCATTACGTCAAGGGGCTCGCCGTCAACGACATATTTGAACACACGTAAACAACGCGTTATTTTGTTAATATTATTTCAATAAATAATAAATAAATGTTTACGTAATTATCCGTGGTGTAAACTTGAAACTGAGTACTCGCATACAGAGACTCGAGACATCGTAAAGTAACTGTAAGGTCAGTTCTGTTATAAAAGTACTGCCCATTTCGAAACTAAAAGTGATTTCAATATGTAGACCACTTTTACAGTCCCAAACTTGTCTCCGTTACGGTCGAAGCTTGTTTACGGATACAATATAGTTACTGGCGATCACCGTGATCGAATTTAAATTTTATGAATTAATATATTAGCATACTTATTTGTTTGATATATCAAAAGATCATGTTTCTATCAAAGTTTTATGGTAATTATAAATAAGACTATTACATTTAACATTAGTGTTTAACATTTCGTTAATGTACCAATTTACAAATGCATGTTGTGAGCAATTAATACAACTTAAATTATTTTAGCGTAACACCGAAGCGTAACATTAAGATATGAATGCTAAGTGAATGCAAAATAAACGAAAACACGATTGTGTCATTCCTAACAATTGACTATTTCAAGATGATAACTTTGAATAATATTTTAATTTGACCATTATAACCTACTAGATTAATAATAAATGTTTTTTTTTTCACCTCGCGTTGGCATTGATCGCGGTTCACAGAACCGGTAAGACTGCGGTTACCCTTCGCCGAGAATTCAAACATGTCGGAACACCAACTAGCTATGTATATGTTCCTCTTTTAATTGTTTTAAAATTAAATACGTTTGTGGCAAGACGTCAAAAATATATCTCTTTGCGCTTGTCATTCTGACTTTGTCTCCTTGACACGTTTCGATGACTAATTTAACTCAAATGAAGCAGATGGTAAATTTTTTTACCAACTTAAAACCATATTGATATTATAATGTTTATTAGCAAGGGTTATTTAAGCTTTCCCATTTGAAATTTCAGATAAGTATGGTCAGAAAATACGAAAGAATGAGCGGCCGTCAGTCCTGGAATGAAGAAGATATGGCAAAGGCTGTCGCCGCCGTCGTCTCAGGTAAGATGGGCTACAAGTTGGCATCCAGGACCTACCATATACCGCGGTCTACTCTCCAGCGACGCGCCAGCAAGATACGGTATCAGCAACCAGACGAACCCAAGCCACTAATGGGGCACTACAGAAGGGTGTTCACTGATAGTCAAGAGAAAGACTTAGTTGGCTATATCAAAAGTATGGAAAAGTACTTTATGGGAGTCTCCCGAAGGGACATCAGAGAACTGGCATTTCAATACGCCGAAGACAACCATCTAAACCATCCCTTCGATGTAAACAGCCGAATGGCCGGAGAAGATTGGGTGCGAAACTTCCTGAAGCGCAATCCAGAACTCTTGGATAGATCCGACCACGAGAACATCCTAGAACCGGTTAATTTTGACCAATTCTATCATTTCATGTGTCAACTATCATGATAGCTCATTATACATTTATAGGTGATAATAGATTTAAGTAATAGATCAGATTTTTTTACGCGCATTCAAGATTCTTGCTACTCTGTACGTGTCTGTTCAATTTGGATTCTTTAATACATAAATTACAATTTCGAATAGCTGTAAGTTGATATGTCGTAGACGCACAGTTCATGTTTCAGTGATATATTCTTTAGCACAAACTTTTTTAAATTGAAAACGAACAACAAAATGATGTAATGTATCGGCTGAAGAGATTTTACAATGATATTTACGAAGTAGCTAGAGCCAAGCTCGAAAATCAAGTTACCTTGGATATTTACCTTGACTTTTATTTGGACCAAGTAGGTATTTTATTTGTACTACTTACTCAGAGTTGTCTGTCGCAAAGCAAGGGCCTGTGTGCGTCATGTCCTTGAACTCTGTACCCTGACTACGGCCCGGTACTCACGAAAAAGAAGTACTTACGTAGTCTATAACTGGTGACGTTATATGCACTTGTATAGTGAAAAAAAAACTATTTATATTAAATTTAACATGCTAAATTTAAGGGCTGTGATAAAAAAAAAGAATGGTGTATTTTTGGGAATCATATCGCATAGTCGCGTTGGTGTTTTGTATTAAATATAGTTGATATTGTTATAATGATAACTTTAATATTTCGTATGTTTTTAGTTCGCTGATTCGATTAAATTTGATATTAATATCAAAAAAAGAACACTGTAGGTTGCGAATTAGGCAAATACATTTTGAATATTTATATAGGCATAATAGGCAATAATAGGCAACCAGACATCAATCTACACCCATCAAAAAAGGTACAGTTATATCAAGACTCACTACTTTAGTGATGTATTATTAATGATTCAAATTTTATCACCTCAAACTGATTAATAGGATATAGGCAATGCTAATGTTTCTTTTTCAACGATGACCGCTCGATGTCATGTGGGTCATCTGTATACAAACACAGTAAAAAAAATGCCAATAGTCCGCTTAGTACTAAAATCGTGAACATTATTCACATGAAAATTAATAAACTGCACAAGTACTAATCTCTATTCAAGTACATTTAAATAACTTGCTCCAATTTCGAGCGTGTAGATATTGTAACTATTGTTTTTGTTTTAAAGACGGCATTCTTGAAACTGAAAAATTAACATTAGAATTTAAATTTTATTACAAGTCGAATGGTATATTTTGTAACCTTTTGCCTATATAAAACATTAACTTTAATTGTACAAACAAAGTTGGTATTTCTAATTTTTGTTTTGAACACCTACGGGCGAATATTTTGAAATTTTCATGAGTGTAAAAACATAAAAAAAAGTACTACGAATAATAAGTGTGTGTTTTAAAAATGGTTTTAAAATTAAAGAATGAATAACTTCTCAATTTACAATTATGTTTATTAATATTATTTGGTTTATTAAAAAGTAATAAAGGTGACTGGTTAAATTGGCTATAAGAGGGTCTAAGGTTACCTTGGGTGTTTTTCCAAAATTTTTATTATTTATTTATGTATAATTTTTAAGAGAAACGATCCATTTAAACTATTTCGTTACCTGATTTTAATTGTTGATCTCCTTAATTAAGTTCGAAATAGCAAAAGTGATTTGTATATTTATTTAGGCCATGAGTTATTAATGTTGTTGGATTTATTAAAGAAATTTTAAAATGTTTAAATACATAATATTGTTTTATGCCAAACCATGTTATAATTATTGTGAGATTTATTTTCTTATTAGATGTCTAATATATTCCTAAGTACTTAGTGTAATTGATTAAATATTTCAATAAAGTGGTCTATCATTTTTTTTTTTCACACACTTTCTTATATAGCAAAAATCTTTAACTGGGTGTCCTCAATACAAAATCTCCTTTTTCAACACATATGTTGAGTAAATAAAGTTCACAGATGACCACCGCAGACGAAATTGCCTATAATTAAGTGAATACATCGCGGATGAGAGAGTCATTATCATGAGGCCAAGTGGACAAATAATTACCAATTAATGATTAGACAATAGGCGGTTCAAAATAGTTCAAATCATAAGAGTGTCAGTTGCGAAGTTCACGAAGCAAGCCATCAAACGGATGGACAACTGGATGGGCATGACTAGGCCGTGTTTATTTTTTTCTTCCTACCTATGCTGATAGCCTTGAGAGGCTATTTCGCCCTAACATGTAGGTGAGCTCACGGGACTCAAACCGGAATGTTGCTAACACTGGCCCTAGCAAGAGCAGTGCTTCGCAGAATCTACCGCCGGACCGGAAACGCGACCCACTGAGAAGATCCGCCGAGAAGGCGTATTGTGGGCTATGGTGTCAGCCCATAAATCTAGCTAGCACCGTCCTGCCTATTTCTGTCGCGAAACAGTCGTGCGTTTGAAGTATGTGACAGCCGTCGTACAATCCAATCGAGCCGAATCATGTCTCAAATGAGCGGCAACATTTACGTTGTCTTAGATAACGTTAATGTCTATTTGGGCTGGTGATGACAAACACTAACATAATAAAAACAATACAAATATTTTCAATAAACAATTTTCAGTAATAATATACAATCATCATATCATCATCAGCCTGTATCTCTCCACTGCTGGATGTAGGCCTCTCCCATAGTCCGCCACAATGAACGATCCTCCGCCTTCCGCATCCAATCTCTCCCAGCATATCGCCGCAAGTCATCGGTCCAACGGGCAGGGGGACGCTCAACGCTGCGTTTACCGGTACATAATGTATAATATACAAACAAAGCTATAGTTTTAATCACGATTATCAATCTTATCACATTCTGATACAATTCAGATGACCATATCCTTTATGTGTGTATACAAATTTTATCTTAAACAAATAAAATATGTTATAGGGCTTTTATTGTGTGCTAACATCAAACTTATACCACGAGCCATACTTCCGAAACTTGTTAAAATTGTTTTAGATGGAGTTGAAACAAAACGAAAAACCACATATTCGATACATTTCTAACAGGAAACTTCACAAATTCAAACCTTCATGGAAACGGTTCATATTGTTAGTTGCTATTTCCAGTCAGTTCATAATGAACATTGAGTTTCCTCATTACCTCATTGCTCGAACTATTCAAATTCTTTACATTTAATTTGTCTAGTATCGTAAATAAAGTCGTTCTCATCAATATTCTATGTCCAGATACTTATAAAGTTAAAGTAACATTCTGCAAACATGGATCTAGTGGTATCAACCCGAATCACAATGCGACATAACCTCAAAATATTTACGAAATTAAAATAAACATTATCAAGCCTAAATCCTCTATTTATTAGAATGTCATTTCCAAATAAGTTTTATTTCATTTTCACATCAAATAAAATAGAAGAAGATACTAGACGAAAATGTACGAAGCTCGTGTCATTACAGCCGACACTTGACCTGTTTGAAGAGCGTTCCAAGCCTAGAGTGTTAGACCTCGCAACAGCCGTTTACGCTACTTTGACTGACACTTCAAGAAATTTCTGTACTCTCTCATTATTCTCAATTCAAAACGAAATAAAAGCATAGAATAGGATATAAAAATATATTATTGAATAACGGTAACTTCTAAATGACAAAAAATAAAGAGTAATACAACTTCTAATGATAATTAGGTATTTATAAACTTACTAGCGACCCACCCTCGCTTCGCATCGGAAACAGTAATTTATTATTGATTTCTCCACTATTTAATGGATGTTATTATACATATAAACCTTCCTCTTCAATCACTCTATCTACTAAAAAAAAAACGCATCAAAATCCGTTGCGTAGTTTTAAAGATTTAAGCATACATAGGGACAGAGAAAGCGACTTTGTTTTATACTATATAGTGATAGTGATTTAACAATGTCTTCCAACCATGTCCGGAAATATCATTTCTCACATAAAATAATATAACTTTTACTAATACATAGTATCTTTTTCGATATTCGAGACTTGCAGATATAAATATTTACTTTTACGATTAATTCTCTTTTTATTGTTATTATATTATTTTAGACGTTACGAATACCTTACAGTTTTCGTGGTCACAATAAAAACGTAAGACGAAACGAGAGAGGAGACGAGAAGATTTTGACCGCGTCTAGTATCTCGCAGAAAGAGGTGGCGATTATGTAAACTTATACAATGCTGTTGACACTTCAGAGAAGGATTCTGGCTTAATGTCACCAAGATATGATAGATGACGAGTCAATCTTTTCACTTTCATATAAAATAATCTAAGGTGCAAACTATGCTTTTTTAATTAAAGCATATTGTTTAATTTAGATGAGTTTTCATTTAGATTCGACCACATGATGATGATCATCGATTTCGATCATCGATCGATGTTTATCGATTTATTTATTTATTTGCCGCGTGAATTCAAATACATTTCTCAACAAGCAGACGGGAAGCCAAAATACAGAATTCCCAACGTGTCCTTCTTTTTAGGAATATACTTTTAGTAGTTCTCTCTGTAGCAGCTACAAAGCCAATTTAAGGAACGGAGGCAGCGAAGCGATACTAAAGAAGACGGCGTCTGAAAGGCTTTCTTCGAGAGAAATTTATTTTTCTTGACGGCCATTATAGTTACTGTTAACAACAACGTTGGATGAGTAAAATAGCAATTTTTTTTTGGACAAACTGTCGTATCCCATTAGATGTTGATTCTAGTAGGCTTCAGAAATAAATTACTTTACTGAGAAGGTATTTCGAACTTGATCCTTTAAAAAAATACCAGTAAAACAAAATGCAGATATTTTGTTTTTAAAAAATTTTACTTGCATGACGGTAGATAGAATGTAGCAAGTTTTTCTTCATTATACTAGGTAGCATACTGTAAGCACGAAATATGATGAAAAACTTTTTTTTAGCTCGAAAGTTATCACGTAACAAACTCATAGATCACGGTCAAGGAATACATCGTGTAATAAAAATTAAACCTGCAAAATTATAATTACTGGTGATAGGACCTTGTGAGTCCGCATGGGTAGGTAGCACCACGGAATAGATAACCTATTCCGTGAGTAGCACCACCCCACCTATTTCCGCCGTAAAGCAGTATTGCGTTTCGGTTCGAAGGGTGGGGTAGCCGTTGTAACTATACTGATACCTTAGAACTTATATGTCAAGGTGCGTGGCGCATTTACGTTGTAGATGTCATTGGGCTCCAGTAACCACTTAACACCAAGTGGGCTGTGAGCTCTTCCACCTATTAAGCAATAAAAAATAATAAAATAAAAACGTAAACACCTTTTCAAATAAGGATTAAATTTTTTATGACAAGCTTTTCCTAACAACTCATTTAGCTGTTTGTAGGTACACAAATGACGAGGAAATCCAATTATATCGATGTTTGCGCTCTCAAAGGAGCCCGGGCCTTGGCAAGGAGACTTCCGCTCCAATGCACGGCACAACGCAATCGAGAGCACTACGAAAAGCGCTGGGACGTACTTAGACTAACAGGATCGAAATATAATTAAATATTATATGACGGAGGAGAAACGCAGACGGAATGTTTTTAAAAAGTGGCTGACGTCACGGTTATTGCTTTCTTGGCGATGACTCATGTTTGGGCTTCCGAAAGAAAACTTCACGAGAACTTGGTTGGCTGCTTATATTTCACGAGAAGCGTAACAACGTTCCAGAGAGATCCGTACTGTACGACGGCTCGGACACGAATGACCAAGCGCTTTTTTTTTCCCTACCTAAGCTAATAGCCTTGACAGCCTATTTCAGCAGAACCTTAACTAGTATGTGAGCTCACGGGGCTCAAACCTGACGAACCAAGGGCAAGACAGTACGGCCGTATTTATAGGGCTTGGTACACGTGAGCGTGTTTACACGTTTTTAAAGTATTGAAATTACAATAAAAGGGACTGATGTTTAACATCAATTTCTCATCCTAATAAACACAGAGTAATTAGTTGATGATCAGATGATCCGATTATTACATTCAATTATTATTTTTACAATAAGTAGATGAATAGTCATATTTGCGCCGACATATATAATAAAACTATGAGAGGTATGGAAACTTTTAAAACCATCTGCTTTTGGAATAGACGATCTTGGGCTGTGAGGTAAACAAGCAACCTCTGACAAAACTCTCATGTGTTCGTTGGCTATTTTGAAAACGTTCAAATTTTAATGAGACCCAGTTTTAAGATAACATACATTTTTGTTATGACACGATCCTCTGCTCGAAATAATATGCAACATTTTTGAGACCAATTAAAGCTTAGTTTCAAAAACTTTCTAAATATCTGAATAAAGACGATAGAAAAACGTGTTAGAAATTACAAGAGGTACCAACGTAATTCGCTATTATTCTGGTTTCTTATTTGCTAATTGGTTAATGAAGATTTCTGTTTTATTTTCTTCATGAACTGGTACCAAATATTTAATAAACATAATTCTTTAAAATTTACTGAAATAATGAGCATGGTTTTAAGATGAAACCGACGATAGATATGTGGATAACAGTTATAAAGTTAAATTTTGAAGCAACGTTAATGATCATAGTATTATCTTAGACATAGGTTACCTTCGTATTTCTATGTACAGCATGTGGAAAACTAGGCTTCCTAGAATCCTGGGCTTAACATACTCAACGTACTCAACTCAACGTACTAGAACACTTAAAACACTGCACAAGCCCTTTTTCGCTTCTTCCGCTTCGCTTCAGGTGATCCATTTGCTGTATCGCTTCGAATAGTTCCGATTACTAACAGACTGTGTGCCATCTCTGCAACGTTTTTATATCCGATATCACATCCCTAGAATTATCGAGAATATTCC